AAATGTCGTTTTCGCGAAGCTCTGAAAAAAAAAAAATTTGCTGGCTTCACCGTATCTTGTTCTGGGTAAGCTGGTAAATCCGAGCGATCTTTCTCACTGTGCGACGGCTGTCGCAGGCCGTCGTGTGGAGGCCGTCGCAATGGTGACACTGCAATGGTGACACTGCAATGGTGACACTGCAATGGTGACACTGCAATGGTGACAACTGCAATGGTGACAACTGCAATGGTGACACTGCAATGGTGACACTGCAATGGTGACAACTGCTTCACACTCAAAGACGGAAGAAAAAGTGAAATGGCAACACTGCATCTTTGGTCCAGTGTTGCCAACTTATGAAAATAAACTCTCCCTAAACTAATCGTGCCTCCAATAAAATTGTTTATTCTTAACTTCCGAAATAAAGGAATCATAATAATAATAAATAATAAAATCCATGAACTTGCACCGGCATTTTGGCAGGAAAAAATTTTCGCGAAAGTTCCGCGAAATTCGGAACAGTGCATGACGAAGGAAATGTCGAGCAAATTTGGGAAGTTGGGCCTCCTCTTGCTTGCCAAATTGCAAAATTTTTATTTACTGAAAATGGGAATTTATTACTAAAAAAAGGGTTAAAATTCGAAAATATTAAGTAATTTCAATAAATAGCATTAAAAAATGAATAATATTCAAATTAAATAAATATTAAAATTAAATACATATAAAAATAGTATAAAATGGTATTTAAAATGTTCTATTTTTAATTCGTTTCAAATGTCTCTTCAATATTTTTAAATACCATTTACAGTTTCAAATAATATTTTGAGATCTTATCAATTAAAAAAAATGGTCTTTAAAGTTTAAAATTTATTTTAAAGGATACCCTCCGATAAAAGGAAAGCAAGGGTCATCCTAATCCATCGTCACGATCCCAGATAAAGGGATATCAGCTCGTTTGCCGAGAGGTGCGCGAAAAAAAGTCTCCAAATAAAATTGGTCACATTTCAATTTTTTTTTTAGGGATTAAATTAGAATCTGAATTTAGCGTAAGTCGCCCAGAGATTAGAAAAGGGAAGCTTTTTTTTTTTTACTTGACGTCCTCTCAAAGTTTTTTATTTTATTTTGAGAAATAAATAATATAAATGAGAAGCCTGTGAGTATTTTTTTTTAAACATTATTTAAAATGATCTTTTCTGACCTGATTTGAAATCGTCAAGGTGCAAATCCGCGATTGCCGTGAGAACGATACGGCTAAAAAATATGGCAATACGAACTGAAGTACCAGGCGGAATTCAAAATGTCAAAATTTAATGCTTGAAAAATTGGGGAATTGATTTCCTATGAGTTACCGATTTTCGGAGTCGCAAAATGCGCTTTCCCTTTTTTCATTTTATTTTTTGAATGCTTTGAATAATATCTAAGTTATTTTGGAGTTAGAAAACTTATTGGTAAAATTTTTTTTTATCTTTTTGAAATATATTTTCGACGAATGCTAGGTACGAAGAATATTACCAACTACTTACTGTAGCGATCCAGCGATGGAATTACCCCGGGAAGGCATTAGGAGGACGAAAAAAACGTGTGGAGTCCGGCCGGGAATCGAACCCGGGCCTCCTGATCGACTGTCCGGTATTTTACCACTGCACCACCGAATCCAGTGTCTTCTCCATCTCATTCCAGCCACTACAGTACCTCGAAAAGTACCCCAGGAGTGAACGTTTTGGATGGAAACATGGCCTTCGGCCTTTCCCTGGATGAAACAGGAAGCCATGCAAAATTTGGTTGCACTGGCTCCAAGGGGTCCGAATGCATAAAGGAACAGAGAGACAGACAAACTTTCTTCACACATTGAGATATTTAGAGATTTAGATATTTAGATTCTTTTCTTTCATTTTTAAAGATTCATGCCTTCAGGGAAAAGAGATGAACTTTTGTCGGGAAATAAATATTCGCTAATTGTGACAAATTCGCCAATACATATTTCTCGACAACTTGGCGTGAACATATGATTAAAGTACGAGCCATATATTTAACTTTGGTACTAGACTCGGGGTGATATTGGACCGACCCGTCTCGCCCTGGGTCGATCTGCCCTCTTGGACAGAGCGATGGAGTCGACCGTGTGCATTTGATTTCCGTCCTTCCTGTCGAAATCCACATAAAGCCGTTTGGGGGACGAATCCGGTTGCATGAATGGTTTCTCGCGGATTCCGAAATGGCAGAGACGGAGACGGAGCTCCCCCCCACCCCCCCTCCCAGTGAGGGCATAGGGAACAAAAAGCGGCTCCGTCCGACCGAGCAATACTGTACAATGGAATTCTCGAGCCTTGCTGCGAGGTACGATGGAGGATGCTCTTCGGCGGATGATCGGGAAGGGATTGGGGAGGAACGATGGATTCAGTGGGCTCTCTCTCTCCCTTCTTCCCGGATGGGATAAGCGAGAGCAAGGCGGTTGGGGAAGGGTCAGGTGAAGTCTTTTCAAAAGCGGAGGGAGTGGATTCTGAAATTCGACGATTCGATCACGCCGAAAACGTTCGAGTTGGATTACTGACGCTTGTGTCTGGGGGTGGTCGGAGTCAGGATTTCGCCAAAGATGGGGCTGAGAGGAACAGATTTGGCATTTCTGTAATTCCTTCTCAGGGGGCAGATGCGTTTAGATCAGAGTTGGGGGATTGAACCAAACTTGGGTGGCTGAAGCCCCCTCCTCCGCTACGCCGCTGGTCGAAGTAATCTGAAAATGGCTCCACTGAAAGAAGAAAGCTTTATCTGAGTAGGTCTATCTAAGATGGCGAAAGGTGGGATAAGCGCTCAAGCGAGAATCGACATGTCAATATGGGTAGAAATGTCACTGCGCATCTCTGCATCGCTGTCATATATTCTTCTGCACTATATATTTCCTTTCTATGAGGTGAGAGAAAGAGAATCCATCTCGCGCCCGTTTTTTTCTCATTCGAAGGACGTCGTCTTCGTAGGTGGGGTGCCCAGGGGCAGTCTGCAAAACATGGTGGAAAGGAAGCTTGTGACACATCATGAAGGTGTCCGAAACATCAATGTATCTCAATAAGAAATTTTGGCAGCCGAAACGGAGACGTGGGATTTCAGGATGTAGGGGATTTTGCATGAAAATGTGGCTTGTGAGCATGATTGGTGAGTTATTTTTGTGGAGCGAATCGAATACGCCCGTCTCTAGTCAGCAGTGGGTGTTTCATGAAGACCAGCTGGGCCTTGACACACTCTCCGCCCTGTTGGACATACCTTAGGCTAGGCCTATGCCTCCGTACTTTATCGAAATTTAGGATGGAACGGGTCGAAGTGATCGTGATCTGCGATATTGGATTGTTTTCTTCGTTCACGCAGGTCCCTAAATATGGACTCGGAAGACTTCGATGATTTAGTGTGCTCGGATTCGGGAAACGAAAGCGACGATGTAGAGCTCGTACCCGTTGCCCCCGAGGCCAACAATAGTTCTGGTTCCTCGGATAGGATGGACCTGGAGGATTCTCCTCACGATGTCCTCACTACAGAGCAGGTGGTCCAGTACATGGTTGATTGCATCAGGGAGGTGAACAACGTCGTTGAGGTGAGTTTAAAGTCTATGTGAGGGAAGGCCTAGGCTAACTGCCATGATTCAAGGTTGTATATTGTGACTGTTTTTTGGCTGGAAAAGGAGGCATACATCATAAGCCAAGACTAGCCTCTGTCTAGTAACCTAGGCCTCATGTTAAGTACACTTTAGTCTCTGGGCTTGCCCAAATTAGCCTATTGACAAAGGCTTCAATGGTGAAAGGAAGAAGTAAATTGTAAGCACTCTAAGCCTTCTAGGCTAGTTTTTTTTCAATGTCAAATCCTCCATATCCATTCACTTTATGTACACAAGTGGTAGACAGGATGATAGGTGCTTGTGTTTCATGAGGATTAACAGACAGCACTACTATGAACAAAGCAGTGCTTGTTTTTGAAATGACCTAGGCATCACTCTTTTCTCTAGGGAGCAGACTTAACCTGGCCTAATGGCATGATCATGGGGGAAATTTGCCTGACTTTATTATTTGTTGTAGGCTTCCCAGTGAGTTAGGTTGTCCATTTCTCTTGTAGCTACACAATGCATACGATGCTAATATATGACCCAAAGTGCAGGAATACCAAATACGGTTCACTTATCTAATAGGGAAGGAATTTACTAAGTATACTTGGCTTTTTTCTCATTGGCCTGCAATCTTTGGAAATGAGGGTCTCCCCACTTATTAACTTGGTCGTCATGATTAAGCATTCAACAAAAGTGCTATTATGTCACTTTATAGAGCTCCTTACTTGATTCAGATACTCATGCATGATTTCTTGCTGGAGTGCCTGAGTGAAAACCATTCTAAATGACAATTGAATTTGATCAAGGAGGAAACATATTAATGACAGTTGCATCATCAGGTTATTCAAGAAACTTATGATTTCTGCTTGGTCATTCATATGGATGTAATGATATATCAGAAGCATGTATTGAACTGATATTGGTGATTTTGATAAACATTTGTTATCAGATATTCTGCTCATATGACTTTGATGCAAGAATGCAATGAGGATTCACTTAGTACAGGGTGTCAAACATAAGTCAAACATTGTAGAGAAATTCACATTTTATAATAACACTGAAAAACATATGTTTGCCATTATTTTTTATGCATTTTCTCAAGCAATGTTACCAATCTGCTTGAACATTCCTCAACTTTGTGTTATTGGCTGCCAATACAGATAGTCATTATTGAATCTCTCAGCAACCTCTCACTGACTGTGTCCCACACATTTGTCTGTGCTTGCTGACATCTTCCACTATCAGTTTCAATACTCAAATCCTCTAGGAAAAAAAACAAACAAACAAACAGAAAAAAAATTGAAATAACAAATCTAAAATTTGAATTTTCCCATGATGCTTGACTTATGGGACACCTTGTAGTTTGCATGTATGTGACGTCTTGTTCTGGCCTATTCAGTAAATGTCAGGCATAGTGGCTTAAATAGATTTTGGTGGTAGAACTAGTTCTGTTACAATGACAATTTTGGTCATGTCTGTATAGTGACCTATTGGTGCATTGGCAAGGTATATAATAATCAGTAGCTGTGAATGGTAGAAAGAAGGACAACAATTTTCATTGATGAGAATTTTTGACCTTGTACTATCTGGAGTCTGTTTCATGTCATGGTGATGATGCTGTGACATGGTAGGGAGGGGCCAGAAGCCAGCATAGGCAGGTAGAGTAAAAAAAAATAAACAGAGTTTCTTGTCTGATCTTTCTCCTTGTATAAGTGGCTTCCATCTCTTCCTTCCTCTTCTTTTTCATTTGTTTTCCAGGCTCATTAGAGGCCCAGCATTCCTTGCATGCACCTGCAAGCATTTATTCTGACACGTTGCTTTCAATCCATTGATGCAGTGCAAAATCATGTTACCATTGACTTTGTATAATGACAGCCCTGATTGTAATTGATATTCTACACTACTCTTGCAAGATTAGGCAACTGACTATTGACACCACTCCAGGAGCTAGTGAGAGTATTGCAGTGAACATTGCTATTACATTGGCCTTGCTGAGCCTCATGGAGGTGTTTTCAATGCTGATGATCAGTAGTACTTGGGTAATGTTAAGCATAAACCATAGTGTTAGCCATGGAGTCTACTGAAATGTAAGAAAAGAAAAGGAATCTGAAGGAAATAGCATACTTAAGTCCACATGCTTATATGAAATATGAAAAAAAAGAACCAACATAGACTGGGACAGTATTAGGCCTATGGCTCATCTATAGGTCAGGGACTAGGATATGCTCAGTCTTGGAGAAATGCACTTTTGTAAGGAAGGAACTAGAGGTCATGATCAAGTTTAGGCATATCACTTGTGTGACATGCCACTGCAAATTGATGTGGCAGTAATTCAGGTTCTGAGAAACAGTGTTAAAGGTGAAGGGAAATGTTTTGCTTTCCAAATCTCTTTTCTTAAATAATATAGCTATCTTCAATATTAAGTTTCTTCATCACTATCACTTATCAAATTTTAGAGAGTAGAAAAAGTTGTTGATGCATCCCTTGTTTTACTGAGTGGCCCTGGTGTCATGCAGTAGGGGTAGGTATGTCATGGTTGATGTGTTGACTCCTTTCCAAAATGAAAGAGGGCCTCTAATAATTTGATCACTGGGTTTGCTCACTATTAGCACTAAGCTTAGAGTCTTTCCATATGGACCTACTGGTTGAAGCAAAGCTAAATATTTCTCTATCATGAGATAAGTGCAGCTGTGCTACCCCTGTGGACTTCATTTCATGGTAATTAAATATCACTGACCAGTGCCATAGTGGAAAGCAATGTGCAACTTAATCTGAATTCATTGTATACTTCATCTTCAATATATTCTTGCACTCTGTTCCTAGTTTCCTTTTCTGACAATATCAGATGTAAGAATTGATGTACTTGCCTTCACAGGCAGAACTGAGCCTACCTCGGCTCCTTCTGAGCTTTTTCTTGGTGAATTTTGTGACAAAAACAGTCTCTTAAATGCAAATCTTGAATTTGTACATGTGTATGGGTAAAGAGGCAAAGGCTGGATGTTGGGATGGAAGTCTGATAACCATCTCCCACTCATTTCCCTGACCCCACACTGCTGTCGACCCTCCCTGTGTCATTCCAACAGCTTTTACCTTCTTAATTAGCATGTCTAAACTGAAAGGTTATATATAAAATTTGGTTTTGTATTGGGATGAGGTGGAGACCCTTTCTAGTGAATGGGGGTTTTGTTGCAAAACAAAACTTGCTGGTCTTGTTTTTTTGTTGATGCAAGATTTGTCAAGAGCATATTGTAGGAAAAAGAATACCATTAGTTATAACATGGGAGAAGTGCACGTGTTAATGTAGCTCTATGCTCTGGAAGGAACTGCCACTTATGGGTATTTTTCATACTTGGTCAGACAGTAAGTAGCTAAGGAAGATATCTGACTTTGGGAGAGGTAGCTGTTAGAGCTATGTATCTGCAGTACCAATGGTCAGTGAAAATTTCACCTATAGAGACTTCATAGTAGTAAATTTCCCTTGCCACTACTATACCATTATTGGAGTCATGAAACAACACCCAAATGGTGAAACGAGAAAGCGATGTTGTCAGTGAGTAATCACAATACAGAGAGACAATTCACCATACAGATCCCTGGAATAGAAGGGTAAGCTGAAGTATGAAATTAGCTATTGCAAATGAAGTGGCAAAAGTCATGCACTGTTGCTCTAACCACCATGTGCCAGTTTTTCTGGTTCAGGCATTTCTGGTTTCCCATCTTCTTGGGAGAAGATAGTCCAACCTATGTGGTTTTGAGATACTAAACATTTAAATGATGAGTTACATTTTTTATTTTTTATTTGGTCAGAGCAGTAGAATGTATAATTGAAAGTTGCTAATTCAGTATCAGATATGAAACTTAGAGAAATAGTATTTTTTCTTCTTGACCTGTAAGTCATCTTCCCCTGCTTTTTTTCTTGCTGCAGACATTGGGAAGGCATTTTGCAGGACTAAAAGAAATGGGTATAATGCTTTGAGCTGTTTTTTTTTTCCAGATGCCAGCCACAATTACAAGGATCTTGCTTCAACATTTCAAATGGGATAAAGAAAAATTGATGGAGAGATACTTTGATGGGGATCAGGAGAAGCTCTTCCGAGATGCACGAGTAATCAGTCCATTTCACAAGGGGCCTAGCCGACCTCCAAAGGTAAATGATTAAATTAATATGTCAAAATTACTTAGCACCTTTAAGTACAGTCAATGCTCAATATAATGAACTTCTATGTTATGAATTCTCCTAATGACAAATTTTTTAGAATGTCCCTTGAGGTCATTATATTGAGTGTTGACTATATATTCTATTATTATTGGTACTAGCCTGATCCACTAGCCCTTCAAATGATCATGTGTACTTTTTTCAATTTTAATTCCAGAGACCTGGAAGGCCTGCAGCAGAAGAGTGTGAGATTTGCTTGGTTGTGTACCCAACAATGGTTAGTAATGTCTTAAGATTCTCCTAAAGCTTCTCACTAAATAGTGCTTGGCAAAATTTCATCTTTTTTTTTCATAGCAGATGATGACTGGGTTAGAATGTGGTCACCGATTCTGTCAGCGATGTTGGACAGAATATCTCACAACAAAAATCATGGAAGAAGGAGTGGGACAGAGTATCTCATGTGCCGCTCATGCCTGTGATATCCTTGTTGATGATGCTACTGTGATGAGACTTGTATCAGATGCCAAGGTCAAGCTCAAGTACCAGCACCTAATCACCAACAGCTTTGTTGAGGTATTGGCACTGCATATTATAGATATTCATGTGGGTATTCCTCATTCTGCCTCAGGATGGATTTTTGATAAATTGAATTTTTTTTTGATAGTGCAACAGGTTGCTGAAATGGTGTCCTTCACCTGACTGCAACTACTGCGTCAAGGTCCCGCACCCAGAAGCTCGACCCGTGACCTGCAAATGTTCCCACACCTTCTGCTTTGCCTGTGGGGAAAACTGGCATGATCCAGTACGTTGCAGCCTTCTCAGGAAATGGATCAAGAAGTGCGATGATGACTCGGAGACCTCAAATTGGATTGCTGCCAATACCAAGGAGTGCCCCAAGTGTAATGTCACCATTGAGAAAGATGGTGGCTGCAACCACATGGTCTGCAAAAATCAGAATTGCAAGGCTGACTTCTGTTGGGTCTGCTTGGGGCCCTGGGAACCTCATGGCTCATCCTGGTGAACACTCTTTGGGAATCACATGTGGAAAATAATTGTCCTTCAAGCGTTGTAACACTCTTATGGTTTTGCTCAGGTACTCGTGTAATCGTTACGATGAAGAGGAGGCAAAGGCAGCTCGAGATGCTCAGGAAAGATCAAGGGCTGCCTTGCAGAGGTACCTGTTCTACTGTAACCGTTATATGAATCATATGCAGAGTTTGAAGTTTGAGAACAAACTCTACTCATCTGTCAAGGAAAAGATGGAAGAGATGCAGCAGCATAACATGTCATGGATAGAGGTCAGTTCAGGCAAAGGAGGAATTAATCCATGATTATTCTGTTTGGCATGGGAACTCAGGGGAACCTCATATGCCTTATTTCCCATACTCCAGGTCCAGTTCCTGAAAAAGGCAGTCGACATCCTGTGCCAATGCAGGCAGACGCTTATGTATACATACGTGTTTGCCTACTACCTGAAGAAGACCAATCAATCCGTGATATTTGAGGTGAGTTGTTTGTTTTTCAAGTGCTGTCTGCAAGTTTTATGTGGCATATGGAAATTAAATTTTTAATATACTCTGGCTAATGTAAGTTTGAACAGATTTTGGTTTTAAAAATTATATATAATTCCTTCATTGTATTCCTAACCTGAAGTTGACCATTATATCCTGTTGGCAATTAATTTTTTACCATAAAAATTTCACTCAATCCTGTTAATTATTTTGAGAGAGCATGAGAAGGAAAGTGCTAGCTGAAGTGTATTTGTAGCCCAACCAGAAGTTGCAACTTTTTTTATCAGGGCCATTTTTTACAGTATTTAACTTATTGAAGACTGGAACTCACAGGGAAGGTTTCTTTTTTATCAATAGGAATGACTACAGGTGGATAAACACTATTCATGATGAAAGGTGCACAGTTGCTCGTTTTGCCCTGAGCCCTATGCTACCCAAGCTAAAACACTGCACCTATCAATAAATGGTTTGGGAACCCCTGTGCCAGACTATATCTACCTGAGAGTTTTCCTATGTTCTTATAAGGGAAAATGAAAGTAGATTCTCCTTCTTTCAATATAGGATCTTGAAGGACATCTTTTTAATTTCCTTTTAGAACAATAGGTTGACCATGCAATTTGGGCATTACTACTTCTAGAAAGCAGGTCTTTGGTACAGAATGTGAGAATCAGGTAGACCTATTTGAAGTCTTGGAGACCCCTATATTGCTTGTGGTCATGGTCATTAAGACAACACTTATTTCTTGCATTGTGTCAGTGATTCTGGATAAATCCAATTAAAAAATAATGGGTCAAGGCTTAACTTTCAAGATGAATGAAAATTGAACTTTCATCCTTTTCTGTATGTTTTATTATAATATACAGTAGAACCTCGATTATTCATGACTTGTTAAACTGCGAGTTTGCTTAACCATATGTCTAAAATAGAATTTTTTCCTCAAATATGTGCAGAACAGAACAATCTTTTCAACAGTCCTGAACCAGTTTGCTTTTTACATGTTCATTCTTTATGCATTACCTTTTCAGTAAAAGTGTTTCTTTTGTCTCTTTAATGCCGCCTGATAATTAAATGTGAACAACACATTAAGTGTCTTTTTTTATTAACTGTGAATTTTGATTATCTAGCACCATTCTCCCTGTCATTAGCACAGGTAATCAAGGTTCTACTGTATATTCATATCATCAGTTTCTTTTTTTGGATGGAATGAGTAATGTCCAGAATTGGTATCTAATGCCAAATGTGGCTCTGATGCATGCCACCTGTGCCATCTGTGGGAGCATGTGAAGTATGTCATCATATGACCCCATTTGCTTTGTCATGCTCCCTTTGATGCACATCCATGGGCCTGTACAGAAATCTAAGGAAATGAAATCTGGAACATGAATGTTCAATGTCATATTGGTTGATTTCATTTGATCATCTGGTCTCCAGATCAAATGAAAAAGCCATTGGATCAGGGTGAAAACAGGCAGGGAGAATAATCATTAGGCAAACACTGATGATTTTTCTATTAATGATGATAGCTAATGCAGATGTTATCATAGTTGATCCATGTAGGACATCAGTAAACAGAGTCTTTCTTAATACAGGATAACCAGAAGGACTTGGAAAGTGCCACAGAGATCCTCTCAGAGTACCTTGAGCGAGACATTACCCAGGAGAACATTTTGGACATCAAGCAGAAGGTCCAAGACAAATCCCGGTGAGTCTTATGGATGTTGGCTGGGATTTGCTGTGGCTCTGGAGCTATTGAGCCACAGATGAGTTGAAACATTCTTTGCCCTCGCTTCATTTAGATACTGCGACAGCAGAAGGCGTGTGCTCTTGGAACATGTCCATGAAGGCTATGAAAAGGACTGGTGGATTTACAATGAGTGAAGAGCTAAGAATCTACACAGGACTCTGCAGGTATCTTATCCTCTTTCCCCCCCCTTCCCCCCATCTCTCTTTCATCCTCAATTAATCCCAACCTGGCCCCAAGGAATAAAAACTTGTCTTGAGCTCTGAAACCTGATCAGAGAGTCTCCTCTTTCCATTGTTGTGTTGCTCTGTGCTTCATTCTGTGGGGCCAGCTGGGAATGACCACTGTCTAAAAATCTTTTTGCAATATATTCAGAGAATAAAAAATGAATAGTTGGTTTCATTATCATGGGTTTTTAATATTTGTTTCAACATGCTTCTTCATCAGTGCTGTTACAGGCTGAATTAAAATAATGGTGTTCCCAAGACTTTAATGCACATCTGCTCTATCTTCTAATAAGAAGGCATCAAGAGATCATCAGGCTATGGAGTGACAAAAATGGAATAGTCTTGCAGTGTCAACTAGCTATGAGGTAATGTTGCCCTCCAAAACTTTCCAAATGTGAGAATGTTAGCCTTGAATAAGAATGGTTGTACTTTTTGGCAAATTATGTTATTGCTCCCTTCTGAATCCTAAAAAATCCACAACTTGTGAATATTTATTCATGTAGCTGAAGGAGAACATTTAAATGTCATTTTTCAACAATTTTGAATCTGCCATGAAGGGCTTCTCAGGCCCATTTTCAGAATGCTCCTAATCGACATTTATCTGTGGGACTTGGAAGAAACCTGAGAAATTGTATCTGTTGGCTGCGAGCCCAATAGTTTCTGAGGAAAAATATTCCTAAATTCGGAAAGTGTTCACTGCAGAAAAAGTGATCAATGCCAAAATCTTTCTTACATCTGCATTACACTTTCACGAAAAGGAAAACGCATATGCATATCAATTCGTACTGGTTCTTCATTGGCTCTCATTGGAGTAATAGGAAAACCTGGCAGTACTGTCACCTTCTGCAGGCTCCAATCATTGGGAAAAATTAGACTAGTATGCATTGGAGTCCAGTGCATACTAAATCTACTATCTAATCTAATACTACATCTCTCTTTTTTTTCTACCAGGAAGTCAAATCTCGAAATTGTATTTTTTCTTGGTTAAACGTCTAGGTTGCCATTTCTTTTAGCATATAACAATCCCCAAGCATCTGAGATGTACTAAATTCACGTGCTTTGGAGTATCCCTCGTATCCAGATCGAGCTCGTAATGGAAGCAGATAAGTACAACCCATTCTCAATTGAATATAAGAGAATTTCTTCTGCTTTCCGTGCAAGTTTGCAGCAGAAGGTCCACTCCACATTTTGGATTCCCCTTTGCTGGACGATGAAACGTGCATCTCTTTGCCTTGGCATCGATATTTACCGAGAAGTGAGAAGGTGACCAAGACGTAACCAGTCTTCCTGACTGGGTTCTTCCACGGAGCAAAAAAATAGGTAGTTTCAAGATACCATCAGGCTCTGATACTCTACGCATTTTATATTTACCCGCGTAATGATATTGGTATTTGTATGCTAAATAATTTACCTTTCAGGCCTGGCGGACTCAGGAGTCCCACATCATTTTCGCGTGTTTGGTAATACAGGAATGCACGACCTTGACGCCTAGCATGACTTCTGAGTCCCTGTGACCTTTTTTGGTGTTGGTATTTTGTTGTTTATAACGTTTTATTGTGAACGGCTGAACAAGGAAAATTGGCTTTTGCATCATTTATATTTATTATATTCGGGTCCTAAAAGGTTAAGCTGCATGTTGAATTCTATAAGATTACTAAGATTATACGAATAGAAAAAAAAAATTTTATTGTGACTATTGCTTCGCCCTCGAGGCTAGGGATTCCACGGTTGAATGGAAAGTATCGAATCGAATCAAATCGTTCCGTTCAGCCAGCCGTGATCTCAGGTTGCTTGTACACCTTCGAAGAACTTCCCGCACCGATCGGCTCAATCGCATGGAGAGTCGTTCTTTTTCAAGGGAGGGAGCTTGATTTTATCCGAATCGGAAGCAGCTGTGGAAAACGACCCCTCTGATGGTCAACCGACAGGAAACTCGATTGCCGAGAGGGGGACTCGGTCGGGTCGGGTCGGTCCGGTCCGATCGAGTCGATCTGCATGCCGTGCATGCCTCAAAATAATACATTTTCCACTGCCCGGACGAAACCCGTTGAAATTTTGTGCATAGGAAAGTTCGGGAATTTTTTTTTTTTTTTTTTTGGGGGGGGGGGGGGGGGGGGAAATATGGG